TTATTCTTTATTCTTTTTACTTAATACTTTGTCACTGGAAAACCTCAGATGCTATGAAGTTTCCTCTTGATGCTTATAATTTACACATCTTTCTGTCACCGGCATTCTTGCTACTTCCAGTCCTTTATCACACGTTGCCTCTCTGACATTTTTTCTTTTGAGCCTTCCTATTAGCCTAAATGAATACAGCTAAACCGTATCCTAGCAAAAAGAAAAATTTCTGTCTCTGCCAAGAGAGGAAATGGAAGCATTTCAGATAGGTGGTGAAAACCTATGAGCCTAAATGAATACAGCTAAACCGTATCCTAGCAAAAAGAAAAATTTCTGTCTCTGCCAAGAGAGGTAAATGAAAGCATTTCAGATAGGTGGTGAAAAAGAACAGGTGTTCTCACAGTGTAGAGAACAGTAATTTAACACAGTGCCCTCACAGTTACTTAAATTTTAGGAGATGTGGTTCAGCCCCCAAAGTGTCAGTGGAAAGATAGCCACTGATTTTTCTGGTCCTCCATCAATCCAAAGCAGAACAAATAGGACAAAATGCTGAGTATTTAGCAGAATTTTAGATCCCTGCAAGGCATTAGAAGGAAAATACATTAATCCAGGTGAGGTAGCATGCTTATATTAATATACAATTCTGCATAATTCTATATTAATTCTACCAGAACCACATTTTTTCAGAGCTAGCTCAGTTATTTTTGCATGCCGGCATATCAAGCCTCACAGACATGTAACAAATTACCATCAGATTCTGCGGTTACAAGAGAAAAGTTACATGCTGTTTGGGTGAAGAACCACATCTTGCAGCCCGTCAAATTCACTGTTTAAGGACTATTGATTTTCATTTAACTGATTTTCTTAGTTATTGTTTGTCGTCTTCTCAATTGCCGTGATGGTGTTCCAGAGTGAAGGAATTGCAGCCTAGGTGCAATGAAAATATGTCAAAGAACAGATAACGATTTAGAGCAGAGATAAGCTTTATGAGTGCCATAAAATTATTCTCCAAAGGTTTTTGTTAGAAAATTTCAGCACTTAGATGTAATTTCAGGAGAAATATGTTCCTCCTTGAATCTGAAAGAGGGTTAAAACTTGAAAATGTTTTCAGAGAAAAACAGAAGAGGAGTGAATAATGTTATTTTTTAAATCAACTGTGATCCGCAGTGGTTTGTTCTTTCTTGCTCCTCATTACTCTTCAAGACAGTTTTAGTGAAAAGACAGACTGAGCACTGTGACATTCATTATGTTCTGTCCCTGATACATCAACGTTGGCAGATTAGTCCGTGTTTAAATATTAGGAAATGCTCTCTTGTATGTGCACAGATGGGTCATTGTATTTTGGGGCAGAGAGGGGGAGGGGTTAGGAATCCATAGAGAAGAGAATATGTTTCCTCGGACCGCTATAGTTTACGAGAAGCTCACAGCAGCAGCGCTTTCACATTCTTCAGACTATAGGCACCGTCAACTGTAAATGTGATGTTCTTTGGCTGTCTTGCAATCGTACTGTGTTTTTTCTAGCATATTCCTTGACATCACCAAAAGCAAGAGACTTCTCTCTGAATATAAAGTGTTCATTTGACTGGAAATAACTAATGTACTGTAAGGAAGAGTATGCTTTGATTGTTGGTTTCCATGTATCTCAGAGACATTGATTTGGCTTAAACTACTTCGTTTCTAGCTTCACACAGATGTTGATGCCTTCTAAAACTTGAACTTCTTTCTCCAATTCCGTTCACAGCACAGAAGTCAATATTGCAAAATAAATGGCTGTCTTAAAAGTCATCACCCACTGCCTTCTCTATGACTTTAATTCTTTTGATTTATGTAGGTGGGTGTTTCATCCTTGTCTCATTTCTGGTGCAGATCTATGTTTTCTAAGAGTTTTCTGTTGCATGATTAATACTGGGAAGAAAAGTGAGTTATACTGCTTCAGTGAAGTGAACCCTTGAAAAAAAAGCTGTCTTACAAACGGAGATTAGTGGAATGATCTCTGCTAGGTGAAATGTTAATTGGCTTCTTTTTGTAGTTTTAAAGGGAGAGAAATACATGAACGCATGCATATCGACAAAATAAATGACAGTATTTCTTTCCGTGATTCTATCTTCAAGAAGTGTAACATACCATTTGCTGCTACCAGTAATAGCTTACAGCTTCACTGAGCTCCCCCCCAGTTCCATCATCTAAGGTTTTGAAGGATGAAGCCAAGGCTTTCTCTGTGCCTCACCAAACTCTTCGGGCTAGGGGATGGTTCAGTGTCCATCGATTCTTTCTTTCAGATGCCCAAGAATTAGGGAGGGCAGACGATAGTAAAAGAAATTTGATACAAAACAGCATAGTTCAGTACTCATTAGCTCAGGTACCAAAAGACTACAGAAACATTAGCATTACTAATTATTTTTCTATTGAGAATGTAAAGAAGCTTCTTCAGTTGACACAGGCAAAGCTGGAGTGGCTGGATGCAGCTGCACTGTGCAACCTCACACCGCTCTAAAAGCAGGGCTGTCATGTGGCTGCCAATTGGATGCGTATTTGTTGCTGCACGTATATTGAAGGTTGAATTTGTACAGTTTCTGGTGAAAAATTCCTTACATTTTTAAACTGAATGTGCACTAATTGGAATTGCTACCAGAAGCACCAACGTGAGAGATTAAAACTTCTATGCCTGTGTAAGGAATAAAGTTAGTGTTAAGGTTAGAGTTAGGGATTTAAAGGATTAAATGACATGACTGCTGTTTGAAACAGACGGTGTGCTGGTTTGGGAAGGGGGCTGTAGTTGGTAGGAGCTTACACCTCTCTTTTGCTGCAGGGGTTTATCCCCTTTTTGTTAATATGGTTAATGTTGAGAGTTAAAAATGTAAACCATCAAAATTGCATCCTGTTCTTCAGGATCATGAAGATAAGAACAAGTTTGGATACAAGCAAGACAATAACCTGTGTTGTCTTTCACTTTAGGGATGATCCCT